TAATAGAATAAAAATGTTTCAAAGAATGAATCGGTAAAATTGAGATTAGTATATTTTCTTTGTTTTAAAACCTAAGTGTAACACTAACATGTACAGAATTTTACACTAAATGTACAATGCCATCGAAGTCTCCCTTTCTAATCGTATGTCCACAACGTTTGCTTGTACATTCCTTTCATGTCTAATTACTAGGAATTGCTTTTCAATTAATTATTCTATTTGATTATCAGTTGCATTTTGAGATTCACTGCATTTTATTGATTACTTTTTCAACTGTTCTGATATGTATAATTTCGAAACTTCTACAAATTACATTAAGGAATAAAATTTTAGAACGTTCAATATATAACTGGAAAGCTATAAAAAAACTTATCTGTGGTTCAGCGGTAAGTTCGGGAACTTGTAAAACTCTAAAAATCGGGTTTCTATACCCGCGGTGGGCAGAGCAAACATAGTCTATTATGTAGCTTGGCGTTTAACAACAAAACGAACAAAATCACTGTATGAATTTAAATTCGATGACGAGGAACCCACTTTGAGACTAATAATGGCTGGAGACGGCTTAAATGGGTAATGAAGAAAAACTTTAATATAAGTTTAACATAACAGCAAATGTACAACGTTTCGACTGTTATGTTAAACTTGTATTAAAGTTTTTCTTCGTCACCCATTCAAGCCGTCTCCAGCCATTAAAATCACTGTATCTAATAATTTTATTTTTTTTCTTGTAGTTCACAAAAACTACGATGTTATTTACTGTGACAAAAGTATATACAAAGCATAAAAATATCACAGCCGTGTTGAATTTTTTTCTTTAATTGTCTGCTATATAACAGTAAGCTTTTTAGTGGCAGACATCTCCAGTATTTTGTTGGTTTTTTTGTGTTTTTCTTCTAATTGATAATTACTTCTAAGAAGTTAAGAATGAAAGTAAAGAAGAATATATATATATTCGAAGCCTTATATTGGTTTCGACAATTTAGCAGTGAAGTTGGTCGTAAATTTAGTTTTATTTAAATTTATTACTTTATGCATTTCCTTTTTAATGTCGATTTTATTTTATAACCAATTAACCCTAAAGTTATCGATGAGATTCTCGCTGGCTTTTTAATTATTTGTACACCAAATTGCTGTTCAAGATTTTGTTGGCTACAGGGTCTCCAATCACGTATGGATCACATAGAAAAATAAAATGCCATAAGCATTGCAACTAATCTCACTAATTAGGGTCCCTAATCACGTATGGGTCACATACAAAAGTACCATAAGTATTGCAACTACTCCCACTAATTAGGGTCCCTAATCACGTATGGATCACATAGAAAAATAGAATGCCATAAGCATTGCAACTAATCTCACTAATTAGGGTCCCTAATCACGTATGGGTCACATAGAAAAATAAAATGCCATAAGCATTGCAACTAAACCCACTAATTATTGTTGGGGCTTTCTTTGATCTTACGTAGAAAATGAGTGGTTTCAACCAGTTTTTTCTGGTAAGGTTTAATTTGTTGAATTTTGCCCGAACGCTTTTGGAATACTAGCAATCCCTAATTTTGAAGTAATAGACTAAATAGAAGGTTGGTAGTCAACACCACCCACCGCCAACTCATGGGCTATTTTTTACCAATTCATGTTGGGATTGACCGTTACGTTATAATATCCTCACGGCTAAAAGGGGGAGTATATTTGGTCACAGGTTTAGATCTCGCTAGTTGGGTGCCTTAACCACCAAGCCACTCTGGTAAGTTCTTTATACTGAGTGATCTAACAAGCAAAAATAAAAATAAAGTTACTCAATATCATGCAGAAGTAAATGGCAGTAATCGATGGCAGTAAAACGGTATATGAAAAAGCGGCAAATGGAACATTAAAAGTTTTAATTGACATTTTCAATTCTTGATTCGTTTGATATGCACATAAATAAGATTACAACGCTGTAAGAAAAAAAAAGTGTAATTACTAATTCTTCCGATTTTTTTTGTCAAAAAGCAGATAGTGTGATGATAGTAGTATTCAATATGCAAAATGCCCTCAATCATGATCATCATCTTGATGTGGTGTAGGCTTAGCTCTTTTGACGAAGAATGCGTCGAGAGTTGTATGCTGTTTCTGCTGCATCTTCTCCTTGTAGCAGTGCATGACATCATATAATCCTTTTGTAACTTTTAGGCTGTGTTCACGCTTGGGATCATTAACACTAAGGATTTGCACCACTTCTTCTACGAGGGAAAAGGATTGAGATAAGTGGTTGGTAGTCAACTGAAGTTGTGGGTGATGTTTCAATAACGTCCTCCTCTTCTGCAGCTCGCTCTTGTTCCAACATTATCAGATCCTCATCTGACATATGTTCTCCAGAGAACTTTAATAACTCAAACACATCATCTTCAGTGATATATTCAAAACCAGCCTGTCTTGGTGAACTATCCCAGCACTTTCTGCTTGTGGGAACCCTGTAAAGTCGTTGGTCCACTCTTACCATATGTTTTTCCACACACCATTCATGGTTGACTCCTTCACTTCATCCCACGACTTGGTAATGTTGTATATTGCATCCATAATGTTATATTTCTTTCAGAAATCACGAATTGTAGGCTCATCCTCTCCATCAGTAGCTTTAATCAGTTGTTTCAGATTTTTCCGTATGTAATATCTCTTTAAATTAGAGATAACATCTTGATCCATTGGCTGGAGCAATGTAGTTATGCTCGTGGAGATGTACTCAACTCTTACATAATCAGAATGATAATTCAAGTTCATAGGGTGGCTTGGTACCTTGTCTAAGATGACCAATGCTTTGTTGGCAATATCACGTTTGGCACAGTACTTTTCAACAGCAGGACAGAAAACATTTATGAACTAGTCTTGAAAAATACTTAAATCATCCAAACCTTGTTATTTGAGCTCCAAATCACTGGTAAATTAAGTTTGACATATCCCTTTAGAGCCCTTGGAGTTTCGAAACTGTACACTAGTAAGGGCTTTAATTTAAAATATCCAGCAGCATTGCCACCCACAAGTAGAGTCAGACGATTGAGTATTGGCTTACAAGTCACTTATAAAAAATACAAACTAGTCGGCCAAAATAATTAAATATTCCTCATAACAGAGGCCGGTCATGGTATAGTGATTAGCATGTTCGGACTGTGAATCCGATGGTTCCCCAGTTCGGTCTCGTTGCAGCAAAAACTCACTCCACGCTTTGGGGCCGTGGGTGCATTACAAGAGCAATGGTCAAATCCCATTATTTAACCAAACAAGAAGACGAAAATTTGGCGATGGATGGTCAGCTTAGAAAAAAAAAAATACTGAATATTCCGATAACATTTAAACTTTCGTTTGTTTGTTAAATTTCGCGCAAACTTACTCGACGACTATCTGGGCTAGCCATCCCTAATTTGAAAATGATTAATAGGAAGGCAGCTAGTCAACACTACCCTTGTTAGCTCTTGACTACTCTTTTTAATGACAAATAGTAGGATTGACAGTCACATTATAACGCCCTTACGGATGCATGAGCGAGCATGTTTGGTGATGGGATTCGAAACTGCGAACCACAGATTACGAGTCAAGTGCCCCAATCACCAGGCCATGCCAAACCTAACATTTAAACTACGCCTTACAAAGCACTGTAATGTTTCGATGGATGGTACTAAATTAAACCACAACAAAATTTACAGAGTTCTTATGTGTGACGTTTCCCCAGGTTCTGTTCTGAAATAAAAACAGAAAGGTTTACAAAAAACACTTGCCTGATAAATGATGAAGAAACTATCATTACCCAAAACGAAGTATGGATCGTAGTGATTATAATATGTGGTATTTGTTTCGTCCCTTCATTGAAAATTCGTTCTTAAAGTGTTTAGTCTGTGTCAAAAAAACTTCATCAATGACAAACAAGCCCCCCCCCCCAATGGCACAGCGGTGTGTTTGCAGACTTGCAACGCTAGAATCCGTGTTTCGATATCTGTGGTGGGCAGAGCACAGTTAGCCGCCCATTGTGTAGCTTTGTGCTTCATTACAAACAACCAATGACAAACAAATACGTCACACTGGAAATCCAAAACTGAGGGTTTCTCTAGATTTTAAGTTCATTCTCGCTACATAATGTCAAGTTCTCTCAGTTGCAAATAAACGCTCGCTCTGTGATGAAGTATAATAGTTATTTCGAGATCAGATTAAATTTGATGCATCTTGTCAACTGCTGTCCTGTTTTTACAAGGAGTTAAGCCTTTAGCGTAGTTCTGGTTTTCTGTTCTAATCGAGCTCTTTGTTGTATTACAAGCAGGAAGCTCTTAACCCTGAATGCCGTTACTGCAAAAAATCGCTCCGCATCTAGGACCATGGCTGCGCTATAAGAGCAAAGGTCAAATCCGACTATTCGGTCTGACATTATTAGCCCACCAGATGGTTTCTGTTGACTAGTTGCCTTCTTTAGCTGTCTTATCCGTTTAAAATTAGAGATGGCCATTCACAGTTCTTGTGTACGTTTGGGCGAAAATTCTAAACAAACTTAATACTGAATATTGTTTCAGATATTATCCAAAAGTAGCTGCGCCTTTGTTTGTTTGATTTTTTGTTAAATCCATCGCCAACTCCTGAACTACGCTTTTTACCAACGAAAAGCGGGTCTCGCCGCCAAAGTATAATGTCCCCACGACTGAAAGAACGAGTATGTTCGACGACAGGATTATAACCCTCGATAGCTGCGCATACACGTCCTTCATTTGAACAGAGGGAAGGCAACTAGTATACAGCGCACACCGTCAACACTTGGACTACTCTTGTCTGATCAAATAGTGGGAGTTGACCATCACTCTTATAACGCACTCACAGCCTCAAAGTGCGGAATTAGTTTTGGAAGAAAAGGACTCAGAATCACTGTCCGGGCATACTAACAAAAAAGCCACGCCCAGCTTAGATGGCTCTTATCGAACCAAAGTAACAAGAGGTGGAGCCAATCAATTTATAATAAAATTTAACACACACACACAGATATCTATAATAATAATACTTTTATCTCGTTTTATAAGTTCAGTCTAAAGTATATTTCCTATACATTTTTGGTTATCAATATATTCTTCCATATATAAAATAAAAATGATATATATATATATATATTATTACATTCAAACATGCATATATACCAACTATAAATTTTTTACCCATAATCGTCTACGCGAAATCTATTTGGAAGGAATAATTAATACGAGTTCAAATCCTACACCAAGTGTTGATCAGAGAAATGACGTTATTTTTAATTAATACATTTGGCGGGTTAAAACCATTCACAGATCTAGTTGTTAATCACAGGATTAAGATCATTGTTTATTCATGTGTTTACTGATGAATTAAAATTCGTCAAACATCCATCTGGTGGTGGAAAGGACAATGTGGTCGCTATTTAATCTCGTGTTACTAATGAGCAGTCCTTTAATAAAGTAAAAAACAACTTTGTACTTGAAGTCTAATAACTTCTAAAAACGCTAGTCCTAAGATTATAATAATATTACAAAACTAGTTATAAAACAAATTCGTATTTTTTCAGTTATTATGACAAAATAATTATCACAAAAGGACAACAAATAATTAGATTCAAAACCCTCATACGTTGATAACACTTATAGTGTCCACGTAAAGAACTAAATTGTTGATCATGAAAATGTGAATGATTCTAAAATATTCAAGCTTTGTGGATAACAAGAGGTACTGACAACAATATTGCTTACTCAGCCAGTCAAATTAGTGTCTTGCGTCTCCTCTCTTAAGCTTAAGAATCACTCTAAGTTAAATACTTTTAAACTGTGTATCAAGCAATCTTAATTAGAAGCACGACACTTTCAAATTCCACAAAAACTGATGCTGGACTTCAAAAACGATATATCACATGTCTAGAGATTTTTCGAAATAAAAAGCAGTAATAAAATTACGTTTGAAATCATTTTATACACAACACTTTTTCATCTCAACATCCTATAAAGTGTTGTAGTATAAACGTTTCAAAATTTCATTGATAATTTGATTTGCAAAATAAACTCAATTAACATAATTCATTTGTTAACAATCATTTGTATAAATGTAAATATAAAAATATTTAACACTTGGCAATAAGTTGCGTGTTAGGCTTAAAGGAGATTAAATTTGGCTCTCCATAACAAGGTTCAGTATAAAACCAATTAGGCTAACAATTACCCAATTGGACTGAAAATTTGTTAATACACCGCCTCTTATTCTTAAAGTATGTCAGTTGTTGATACACTCCCTGATAAAGTTTTATTGTTGTACAAATACTAGTTTTAAGGCTAGGCCTATCACTTCTATAAAAATATTCGCTAGGCAAAGAAATTTAAGTTTTATCGGTTAAACCACTGACACCAATCTCAATCTGTGGCGCTATATAGACAATTTTCAAACATTATAAATATTATGAGAGATTAAAGAAAGTAAGGCTTAGGTTCAAGAGGTGAAGCCAATCACTTACGTTTCGTTTCAAACTAATGCCTGTGTTTTTGCAATTAAAAACCACAATAAGTTTTGTATATAAATTAAAATATATTGCTCTCTTACAATCAAATAATTTTAGTTGATAATGTGAAGTATCTTAATATTAAACAAATAATAACCTTATAGTAGACATATTATCTAAGTTGTTGTTGCCATTATCATAGTTTACTAGAGATTCTGAGTTTTGAAAATTCTGACTTTGTGAATTTTGTTACATAGAAATGTGTAAGTACTTGTTGGATTTCTCTGTATCCAGTTTAATCAATTTTTGAACTCTATAAAAATATCAAGTGTGTTTTTTACATCATTTGTTTGTACTTTTAATCTTAAGTTTTAACTAGTTACATAAATTATGTTAGGACAAATTTGTATCTTATAATACATCTGCATGCAAATTAAATCATAATGAAATTTACCTTTTTTTTACCAAAATATACCTCCACCAAGCAGCATTGATCATAGTCGGCTCTCAAAAAATACGAAAATGTGTCTTTATGTCTGTCGTTATCCCTGGCCATGGATCATTTTTAGCAGGACAATGAGGAATAATATTCTACATATGTCCACCAAGTTCCATTAAAATCCGATCATTATTGACCAAGTTATAGAGCAAAAACAGTGTGAAAAATCAGTCCCCATGTTAATAGATAGGGACTTTTTGGATTTTCATGACCTTGACTCTCCAAAAACTAATCACTTCTAAGTTGGATCATAGTCCAAATGTGTACCAGCTTTCATCCATTTTTAAGAACTCTTGCTGACAAACAAATACACACACACGGGGGAAGGGGTGGAGATATAACTTCCATCACCATCCATGACAGAGGTAAATATACAATCAATATGTCAAGAACACATGTATGAAATTATTATCTAACGCTTATAGTTGTGGTGTATTAACATACAGTCACTGCAAGACAGGTATTAAATCATAATGAAACCCTTTTTCAAAACACTGTCATACAAATATCATTTCTAATATCTATAGTTATCAATTCACTCTGGGATTCTGCTGAGCATACATGACTGCATCGTGTATAGTTGGAAAAATAGATGGCTGGGGAACTTTCGTAAGAAATGTTGCATTTCTGAGCACCTCATAGACTGGGACTGTAAATGTTAAAAAATTATTAGTTTTAAAAGACAAGCCTAACTATATAAATAAATAAAGCTTTTATAGTTTTCTATTGTTCATTGCTTAAAGTATTGGGCTGTTAAACAAGATGAGGGCCATTTTACTAGTTTTGTTGTTTCAAACTAAAACTTTAGTTTTAGTTTTTAAGTAGTATGTTTTTAAAGTTTGTTGTTGGTCATTAAAAAAAGCCACAGGATGATATTTACTTTCTTAATTTTCCTAGCAATTTGCATCAATTCATGTATACAACGGATTAGAAATATGATAATGAAAAAAATTACCAACCCAGCAACTTCCAGAATTTGCATGTGAAAATAAATCCATGTCCAGTTAACTTAAAACATTAATCATGAAAAGAAAGTTACTGTATATATTATGAAATAAATAGATATCGATACCACCATTTCTTTGTAATAGTGAAAGGGAACAATCAACTGTAATCTGACAAAGCACCCATTGCTGCCATATCACATATGCCATCAGAGACAGAACCAAACTGGGCTCTGACTACATGAAGGCATTGTTCAATTAATTACAAGTTTAGAAGAATGTAAAATGAAATTGTTCTTCCAAATACGGCAGAAAATCAGTACTGGCAGAGTAAACATCCATAACTGTGGAAAGTGGATAAGTGTCATCTTGTAACCAGAAAGAAATCAGTTTTCAAGGTATCTACTTCAAAACATAAATGACATTTCACCCAATACATCTAACTCAAAGCAGCTTTGATTAATAGGAATGGAGGACATTAACAAATGAAAAATTCTATGCAGTTTGACTTTGTCCAACTTGTGTAACAAAATTTAAACTTTTGACAAAGTCGGAATGAAAAGTATAAAATTATTAAAATAGTACAGAGAATCTCACCAAAATCACAGATATCTCAAAAAGAGAAAAACATAGCGTAAAATGTAAATACTGATTTTCATAACCGTTTGAGACCTAAAGGGAACAGGAAATTCTCGTTAGCTGTTGATGTATGAAGTATAATCCTATGTATAGGTTACGATATGCTACAGTGTAAAACAGAATAATCTCCATGTGTTAATACATATAGGGCAGAATAAAACTATAAGTACCATGAAGAGAATTAATGGTCAAAAGGAAAGGTGCCAAGACTAACCTGAACAACTTGCCAAAAGAACTATGATATTTCTTTCTTTCAATTCTTTAGTCACCTACAAAAAAAAACAAAGGAAAAGACAATTTTGTTACTTTTGCAATATATTAATTCTGCACTGGTATTTCAAATCTTTCTTGTGTTTGTTTCATCTTTTTATGAGAAAACTAGATCAAATTATACTAAGTGTAGTGAATGGTGACCTGTTTGACAGGTAAGATGCATGCTATAGATAGCTACATTATCAATGAACTGAAGTCAAGGTATATAACAACTTCTAATCTCCTCCTTGTTAGGCAAACTCTAGCTTGCCTAACCAAGTCTTCGTGTCACCATGTTAACGGGCGATTTTTGCCTGCTGAGCACACTTTATTTCATCAGTTCTTTGTTTCTTTCTGTAGAAATATTAAATTATGACTGAAGCTTCAGTAGATTAATTAATCTTTTATTATACTGTTATACACTATTACAAGTGAAACAAAATTTATGATAAAAAAAAGTTTAATTTAAGTGTTTAAAGACATGGAAATTTTGTGGTAGGTTGTGCCTCAAATGGCTTTCCTCACTAGCTGCCAATGGTGTACACACCAATCACCATCTTTAGTGTTTACATAACATTTCACTGATTAAAAATGTTAACAAGAGTAGAACAATTTATGAGATATCACTTATTTATATTTCAGGATTACAGTACACAGAATACACATATCAAGCTCAGAAACTGTGACAAAAGTGATCAGGCCGAGATATATTTAATATATATATACGAGCATAAAGAACCCCACACTCTGCCCCTCTATCATACACAATTATTTGTATAGCTAACACATGAAGTGTAAAAAAATACTAATGAAAGTGAAACATTGAATTTTGAATATTCTACAGAATTTAGTAACCTGAAAAATAGTTCCTTTTTTATTCACAAAAACTTTTTAAAATATAACATTAGAATTTAGTTTTCAGACTTAAATATTGAAGTATTTTACAAACAATCAGTTGTAGATTGTCTCTCTGAAAATAATTCATAAAATTTTGTATATATACGAACTTGTTGGTCCTACTACACAACTTAGCATTGTCTTATAGAAGTTAATTATCAATTCTAAAATGCAAGAAATTAGATGAAAATGATAATACAGGTATTGATATATGTTGCAACTGGAAAACTGACAACCAACCTCAAGTAAAGTATCCACTCCTGACACATCAATGTACGAAAATGATGAACAGTCAATAATTACATGATGAACCGATTTCAGATATTCTTCCTTATTCCGTTCCTCTTCCAGGGTCTTGTATGTTCTTATATTTTTAATAACTCTAGAAAATAAATCCCATCAGAAGTTAATTCAATGTGAACACATATGTAGATTTCTTTACTGGTTGTAAAAACATATAAAATTGAAATTCAGTACATTTATTCAAATATGTTTGAATCTGAATTCAAGATATTTATTAAGTCACCTATTTATGAACATTTTATTTGTAGAAGATTTTATTATGTTTTAGGAACAATTCCTACCCTTTATCAGTAATAACGTTGTTCAATCTCTCCACGAAAAGTGACTTGTTGACAAAGTAAAGAGCTCCTCCAAAGTGGAATATTTTAATTCCTGGTATTTCTTGGGCCTGTCAGTGGAATTCATACAAAACCAAACAGATAAATAAGAATATAAAACTCAATATGTTTATACTGATCAAAATGTAAAGCAATATTATTTGTATTAGCACGAGTGCTCTTCATTAGCATGGTAATGTACAATGGACTAATTTATAAAACATCAGATTAGTCTAATGAAATCTTTAATTCTTTAAAAACAAAATATGTTATTTCATATTAAAGCACCAATAAACAAAGACAACTTTATATAGAAATGAGGAGTCCCACTGTTCGTTGAATAATTAAACGTTTAAACTGACCTGACTATATTGGAAGATGAAACCAACAAAATGACAAATTACAATATTTTTAAAAGTTTACTTGTCACCATCAGCAATAACATATTATTAGGTATAGATTCACTGTGTAATTCTCTAACTGTCACTCATATTGTATCTGATGATGACAAGTAAATTTAAATATGAAAATGTTTACTAACTTACTAAAAAAGTTGACTATGTAAATACAAAATGCAATGTAATATCACATGACAGGAAAAAAAAATATAAATTAGTATGTCTTGCAAATAACTCCTGAAGACGGCATAGAGAACGTCGAAACATTATACATGTAGAGCGTATTTTTAAAGTAGAAGCAGTTGATGGCTTCAATTACATTTTTAAAATTGTGTAAATATGAAACATTAGTTTTAATTATTTATTAAATTTGAGACAAGTAAATCTGTTGAAACATTGTAATTTGTATTTTTCTTGTTTTCATTTTAAAAGTTTAATTTTTCAAAGACAATTTTTTAACTATTAAAAACATTATTTGTGATGAAATTTAGTTGAATGGATAACAACTACCTGCTGTGGAAACAAGAGTAGAGAGAATGATGTTTCGAAAGAATTTCGCCTTTCGTGACCATAATACGAAAGGCAGAAGACTTTTGAAACTTCATCCTCTATACTTTTGTTTTGACAACAGACAGTTGCCATCCATTCAACCAAATTTCATCATGAATACTCTGCCTAAACAATCTATCAAAGAACATCATTTATATTTGAACCTAGTAGTACTGTTCTAAGAATAATGATTTAAATTACATAATAAATTGAAGAAAACTTGATAACTAAACTCAGTAACTTTCAAATGACTAATATTAATCTAGATGTAAGACCAAAACTACTATTTTGAAACTTGACAAAATCATTAAAACAACTAACTGAATAGTTTACTGAATTCTAAGTGTATGATTATAATAGTTAATTAAATAGTGTCATATATAATAAACAACAATAAATTTAGAATGGATAGAAAACTGGGTATATATAGAATACTTCTAATAAGAAATAATAATACATTGGAGAGAGAGGGGGCGACACCAGTGACAACCATCCTATCAAACTTTCCTTAAATAATAAACTATGGGAGAAAAATTAATACAAGAAAATGGAAAAGCAGTGGTATGAGCAAATAAAAATAAAACCACCTTAAAATTTTACAAACATTAATATGAAAGAAATAACTCCTTTTCTAATCAGAAAGATTCTATATTGTATTTTTTAAAGACAAGATTAAGTACAAAATACACTGTCCAGTTTTTAATTTATCAACGAATTAAAAATAACATAGAATCAGTATGAAGTCTTTAACCAATATGACTCTGTATTTGAGATGACCAAATTATTATTTCAGAGCACATAAAATCTATTCAAAAAATGATATACTATTATCTGAAAAAGTTACAGTTTAGCTAACTTGTACAAAAACATTAGTATTAAAAATAGCAAATGTAATTTTTGCTGTTGCAATGACTACAATAATACATTTGACAATAATATTGCTTTCACTCATCTACAGAGAGTTGAATGTATTATGCTGAATTGATTGGGAATATGCAAGTCACATGACAACCATGGAATGTCATGCAAGAACTGCATTTTGAAATTACTTGACATTTTAAATGACATGCACCAGCCTTTCCCAATGCAAAATATTCATAGAATTTAAAAAGACAAGAATATCTCTTATATTAAATGGCATTATTAAAACAAAGGAATATGGATCAACTTGGGAAACCAGGACCATCCAGAAAAAGACCTGTAACAAGTCATATCCTAGCCATGGTAAGCAACATGTGGCATCATGTAACAGGTGAGAACCTATAAATACAAAGGTCAATGGCAAAAGTCATCCACCCCCAAGCAATGGTAAGCAATAAAATTAAGAATAATCTCCTTCTGGAAAAGTGGCAAAAGTTATAACCATGACAAATACATTCAACTTTCACCTACCCCAAGCAACTGGAGAATAAAATATGTATTTATGATATTTCATACAAATACATACTGGTTAAGTCACTAGATACAATGCCTATGGATATCAATGCAATTGGTCTGTCGAAACATGTTTTGGAAAACCATCATTCTCTTATATTAGATGGCTTATGGAAAGCTTGCAGGAGGAGAGGTATGTTTTGGACATGAGTCTTATGACAGAACTTTCTGCAATGGAAACTATGCAACATGCTTATTATCAAGATGCAGGGTTGTCAGATAGAGTATGATCATACATGGCAGTAGGGACTATAATGACATGATGAGGCTCCAAAATCATTTTAATATAATGTATTCAAATTCTGTATACCATCACTTTAAACAAATCTTACCATAATCGATGTTATTTCTGCAGCTAAGGCAAATGTAAATCAGAAAAGTGGTGATGTAGCATGGTATTTTTAATTAATACAAATTTCTAACCATTTTTATTGTGACATTGAGCACTACTTGCTAGAAAATTATTCCAGACTAATGCATGATTTTGAAAGTGATTATTTGTAATGTCATTACTATTCTGTATTTCTAGAATGTTACATTATTGCTGAAAGAATATCTTCAACACCTCATTTACATTATTTTTTGGGATCAGCTAATGAAACAGTATTTTCAAAGTTATTACACACAGCAAGAAAAAACAAAGCAGATACTACTTTAATTAATATAAAGAAATCATGTCTTTATATATAGATATTAATATAACTTTCAAGATCTAAAATTTAATATCAAAACACATCCACAGTTTATGAAAGCAAGAATATCTATAAATTTGCTTTACAAAACACGATAGAAAGTTTGTTATTCCATAAGTTTGGCTGAAACACCTATAAATTCATCTACTTAAAATAAATTATTGTTTTTATTTACAAAAATTATAGTATATCAAATTTCTCATACTATTGTATCTCTTGAATAACTACAAGAATATGAGAAAGCAGAAAATAAATTCTTAGAAAGAAAATCCATGTCCATTAAAAGAAAATAAATGATAAACTGAGAAAGTAAAATGCCTATTTGTGTTTTTATGATTATCACTAGAGTGAAGTGATTGTGGAAAACAAAAAACTTTTGAAACATTTATAAACAACGATTAAATTAAAAAGTTATAAACTTAATACAATATTAATTTTCTTTAATTATTTCCCCATACAAATTTATTTACATTTCAGAAGAAAAGAACCAAAAGAAATACTAAGAAAATTGATTAATAACAACAAACTAGCAGCTTGTGCCAAACAGCATTACTATTATTACCAACCACATACACAAAAGAAATTATAATTTGTTTTTTTTATTTTCAAGTTTTAAGTCTAAACGAATATCTTATCTTGCTAACATAACCAACAATGTGAATTCAATTTCATAATAAAAACTTTAACTTACACTATAATATTCTTTATCCACATAAATCTCTGTGTTAGGTAGATTAACCAAAACTGTTTGATGAGGTCTTCAATCCAAAAAAAAAAAAAGTATTAATTATAACAGTACAACTATAACTGTTTGGGAAATCTCATAATTAAACAAATATATATAAAGTACAAATCAATAAATGTTTTAAAGGTGAATAGAATGTTTATGATTAGAAAAATAATTTTTTTTGCACTTTCCAGATAAGTCTCATAAGGACTTTATACATTACTTAATGTAATGTTTTCATAATGACTGCATATATTATCTATAATGATGTTCTTATAAGGACTTTATACATTATCTAGTGAATGGTGTTCTGATAAGGACTACATATGTCACCAAATGAGTGACATTATTATATTTAGTGTAATCAAATGTTAGCATATAACTATTACCTACAAACATACTTTTTTTAGACAAAACAATTTCTAAGTTATCTATTTAATATTTTCTGCATTATTAAAGTATCAAGTGGTTTTAAAGAAAGTTTCTTTTCAACCACAACTCACAGTTGAAGTCATAACCATGGGCATCCAAAGGATGGGTCAAGGAGGACATTGCCCCCACCTCGGAATTTGAGAAGAACATTTATTTCGATGATTTATTGGAAAATAATACTATTTAAATATAAATGACAAAATTAGGTGTTAATGATTAAGCCGTAATCAGCCAAAGCATCACATTCAAACTTCAAGGCGATGGCCTGCACTCTGCAATGACTTGCCCCCCACCTGGAATAAGTTCTGCCGATGCCCATGGTCAAAACAAAATACAGTAACCTGGCTAGAAGTGCGAAGACTTGCAAAATTTGTATGAATAAAATTCTGTTTTATTTATACACTTGTGTGTATGTATTTTTTTTTCCTTTTCTATCTGTGTTTGAGTTATTCTCTGCATAACATTTCCATAATCCGAGTATTGTAGATACCTCTGAATTTATCTAAAATCAGTGGACTTGAATGTCGTAAATCAAATAGAATTACAAAAAATTCTTAAACAGAAAGAACATAAAATGTTTTTAAACATTTCATGTATTAAAAGTTGTTTTAAAAACTTAATTTATTAAAAGATGAATCTTATCATTAGGTCGTTTGAACTAGAGTTCAATGATTACCTTCAAACTTAAAATTATTTAGTGCTAATGAGTAAATATCTCAACAGGAAATAATATCAAACATCAGCCTGAATGTTGCATTAATCATGTATGCAAAAATAATGCTTGTACCCAACAATTTGTTTGGACAACTATAAAGTTGCTCTTCGTATTCCATGTGTTTGCAAGTAATTTCAACCAACGGTATACCTTACGAATGCAAAAACAAGAGTTTCTGTTAATACTTACGCAAAAGTTCTATAAACAACAGTCAGAATAGTAAATGCCACCCCCATAATAAGTCCATAGTCAATGTCCAATATCACAACAGAAGAAAATGATACAAGCCATATCAACTACATAAGGAAAAAATTGTTTGTTATGCTGTAAATGCTGTTACATAGATTAGTAATAAATGATACTTGAAAAACTTCCTAAAGCTTTTACTCATGATTCATTTCTAAGTTTAAATTATATCATTAATAAGTACCATTCAAATTGGCAAAATGGAAGAAACATTAATTTTCATATATATATATATATATATTAGTTAATAACAATTAAAGTAAGACTAGCATAACCAGTACAGTTATATAGAAACCATTAACTTTTTAAACACATTTTCCTAAACTATTTATATATTAAATTGTTTGTGAGTGCACTAATCGCATTAATTACTGCTGGAGCTTCTTGTGTATTCACTGCGTTTGGTTGTTCCTTTTAGTTTTGTAACATGCAAAGATATAAAATTACTCAATATAATGAAACATGTAGGCCATAACAATTGTGAATGATATGCAAAAAAAAGTCAGTAATTCAAAAATTAACACTCCCTAATACAAGTTTACAAAACCATCAGGCAATATGTAACTGTATACAGGATTACAATGTTTATTCAGTGCTTGATCTGAGAGGAGGGGGGGGGGGTCCAATCCAAAAATAAAATAGAAGGAAACATTAAAACAATAAATAGAAATAAAAATAAAGATGCAGTGGTAGAATTGTTATATTTAATTATTTTTTGGGATTAGTTTTGCTTGTATTCAAGTATGGAAAAGGGACCTGTAATGTGTAAAATATTGAAGATAAAAATAAATAATATTTCTTCCCCTTTTATGTAAATTTTAAGTTAAAAACATCCTTGGTAAAATTAGGATTATTTTAAAATAGATTACCTATCTTAATACCTTGAAACAATGAAACTTACCAAGTTGTTCCCCAAGATCATGGACATTATTTCAACTGTTTATTATACAATCAGTCAACCATGAGGAAAAACAAGACATTTCTACTGTCTAAAAATTTGTTTTTGTGACAGAAAAACAATTGAAAACTGCTTTTTCTGTTTTATTATTTAGTTGCAGATTTTTATCTTATGAAGCTTGAACTGAATAAAAACAAAATGTCTTGGCCAATCCATTAGTTAGTCACTCATGTACAAATAATTTGGTCATGATAAAGGTTAACTTCCATCATAAAAACCTGATAGCTAATGAACACACTCAAAAATGCAAAGATTTTATTTTCATGCTCTCATTATTCACAAAAAACACTAACAATTATATATAAATATAAGGGGGGGATGACTGATAGAATGTTTTGAAATGAAAGCACTTGTGATAAAAAACTTGGGAACTTTTTGAAGGAAAAGTGATTCGGTGTTATAAAGTATTTATGTAATGTCAAGAAACAAGTTAATATGCATGACATACTTAACTTACACTATCAATCTTTGATATTTTCCAAATCTTCCTGAGCACTAAAACTTCAAGAAACATTCCTTTCAAGGCTACCAGGATAACACTAGAGAGAATACACTGTAAACAGAGATTAACAATAATGAATTTTCTTTTACAGACAAATTAATATTCAAAACAAGAACAGTGGTTAAAGGTAATAGAAAATAATTACTTCTTCTTATAAGTCTGGTCATAAAACTGGAAATAAAAAAGAGATGTATTTGAAAGACGAAGTACTAGATGACTTCAAACATAGTTTTCCACATTTTAGTAGATACAAAAAATCTTATTGAACAAAACCCTAGTAAAACTGTAAGTATATGCTATTAAACTAAAGTGCTTATGCAATTAGATTTCCAATTTTTTTTATATATACATTTCTTTAAACTTCCAACACTGAAATGTTTACTACAGAACTGAGATTTTTAATCTATAATTGGACTACTACAGTATTTGTTGGCTTTATGTTAGAAAATTCATTTTTAGACTATAAAAGTCTACTTAACCATTCTTGTTTACTCACATTCTGATTTACCAACATTTACATATGACTTAAAAATGTGATTATTTTTTTTATTTGTTTGTTTGTCTTAGACTTAGAGCAAAGACACAATGAGCTATCTGCTATGTTCACCATGGGGAATTAAACTGTGGATTCTACGATTGTAAGTCTGTAAACTTACCACTGTCTCACCAGGGAACATTTTTATTTAATATTCTATACTTTTTGTGTAAATAAATTATCTGTTGAACAACGTATGCTAATAATTAATCACTAAAATTGAGTTTTTTGATAAAATTACATAAATATGAACACAGTCTGAAACAAATGAAATAAAGAATTTGCAGTATAGTGTTTCAAATGTGAAAAATACCATCTTAATAAACAGCAATCAATTATTATTTTCATGAAATTCAACTTCCTAACTGTAAGTGGTAAGTTACATAAAAATACAAATATCTATAGCATGAATACAAAGTTCTTATTACAGAAAACTACTGTGAAACTGTCACCCTTCTTATAAAGTTACTCTATGTGAAATAAATTATTTATTCAAGTAAGATTTTTCTTTTATACTACAAAATTAATTTAGGCTTATTATGAAGTGAAGTTGTACCCCACCCCCCACTCCCATGTGAGTGATACATTAGATGTAGCAGCTTGAGTGGTATATTACTTATAGCTCATGAAATATGAATAGTATCCAAAAGCACAATAATCTACAAATTGTGACAAGTACTTTAACTAAATACAGCACTACAATAGTTGACCATAACTCTAATGTATAAAACTAATTTTTGGTATTTATAAAAAATGCATAGAATATCTTCTCATCATACCTTTGGTAAGTGATAGAAAAATGGCCCTAGAACCAACAAGACTATCACCATAAGAAGACAGGACACCAAGCCAACTATCTACAAAAGACAAAACATGTTAATAATTTTTTAAGAACAAATAAAAATCTTCATACTTGCTGTATGATCGGCTTTTACAGGAAATTACATTTCAGGTAACTTTAAAAAAATATGTTTATTTTTAATACAATCAACAAATAAACTGAGAAAAAAATCTCAAGTAAAAATCAAAAATAAATATCATGTGAGCAGTGTTTAATATGAAGAAATTGCCCCACACAAATAATTTAGTGCACATACAAACATGTCTTAAAAACTTTTGTTTTATTTATTACATGGTATATTTATCCAAAATGTATTAATAAGTAATTAACAAGTTTTTTTAGACAAGTGTATGTGTACTGACTAATTCTTCCATTTTTGTTGTTGTTACAGCTTGTGTCTCATGGTTTTCTTCAGTATTTGACATGTTTAGAGGACATGACAAATTACACAACCCTACTCTCCACAGATGGTGTCTATTGTATATTTCTATATGTTATTCTTATTCAAATACTTATATACACATGGATCATATAATTATGATTAATAAAAAAATGTTCTCAAAAATAAGTACATTTCAACTGGCATAAGAAATTTAATTTGCAAAACCATACATGTATAGCAAATCCCTCACACTGCAAAAAGAACAATCTTATATATTTCAAATGCTTTAAACACAAACCATTCTACGACACCTGTTCTTCATATGTGTACAACTGTTAGCATTTCTTATCCACTTGCTTCAGAGTACAAGGAATTTAAAAGTAGTTAATCTTGAAATAAACTTGTATTTTTTACCTCTAATAGTACAGCTTTATTCAAGTTTGGGAACTGTTACAGCTATGTATCATCACTATATAAATAATTTTTTACCTCATGTTTTTTTATCATAACAAGACAAGCTTCTAACGGTTCATTTTGTAAATCTCAATTAGTTTTTCACATATTACGTTATTTGGTTTTATTGTTTCTCAATTTACAATTACTCAACACAACAAAACATTTAAATTCCTGTATAGTATGGAGAAATGTGTGGTCAATGTTTAGGCTAATGGGATACCAATTAAGACTATTTAGCTTTAACACAGGTCACACACATCTTTTTCCCTTATAGCAACTTTAACCATTTCTTTGCAGTTTCACTGTATTTACTTTTGTTTGTTAGTTATAAGCTATATAACTTCACATGAATTTACAAGATTAAATAAAAAAAGATAAACATTCAAAAAAATATATCTCACAATCAAACAAAAAATAAAATAGGTTATGCATCCTTTCAAACACTTTTCTAACCTAACCTGAGTTTTTCCTCCTGACTTCTCTTGTATCATACTTCGTGACAAAGCAGTGGCACAAGGAAAACACGCAAAAAAAGAGGAGAACAAATTGGCTGATCCCATAGCTAAAAACTCCTTCACAAAAAACAGAACAACAAAAACTCTCTTGATCAATAACACATAACAAATAAGCTATTCTAAATTCAAAATTTTCATAAAATTGTAATATCACACAAGTTTTGATATCTTAATTCCAAAAGAAAATATTTGACTAAACTCTCAATCTTCACTTCTCTCTATCATATGATGCTTCTTCATTCTGAATCATCCATCTTAAATTTTCTTTCTACCCCTAAACAATCTTTCGAGTTATCCACCAATTACATGCACACACACTGTATATAATGTTAAGCCATTACGTAAAGTTATAACCTCCAAGCTTCTTGCTTTACCAAGATATACACATGAAAGTCCAATCCACATGACATGCCCCTCCCATCTCATCATGCTTTCAAAAAAATGTGAATAATTTCCTCTTACATTTGATATTGGATTATTTAGAACTAACAGGAAAAGAAAATTCTACTTTACAAGATTCATTACAAGGCTAGTTCATTTAAGCACCAGGTTAGGAAATATTTAGCTTCAATTTCATTATTTGCTTTTAAGGTGTACAGCTCTACCAGCTAACAGAATTTTTTCATCTATTTATAGCTTGGTAAAAAAGCCAGTTAAATTACAGTTGTTTTATGAAATCCTAAATTTTGTGCACAATATTTTGGTGTGTTCAAAACTGCATATTTGAAAAATAGAAATTTATAATATTTTGGACCATCTACATTATTAAAAAAACAGCAGGCCTAAGTCCTTTGCTTGTCAATGGCTAAAGGCCTGGCCTGAAGTACTATCAATATTTTCTATTTATTGTTATAAAAATAACTAAAATGTATTAGGTCAGATAAGAAAACTTAAATAAAAAAAATTCTCATGATACTCAATTCTTAGCATGCATACACTGCATTGTGTATGTGTAATCGTGGGATCCTTTGTTTACACAAAACTGTCTGGCTATGATACATGGTTTTTGGCATACTCTGAGAGAGTCTAAGTGCAGCTGTGAGGTAACAAAACTAAATGAATCCAGGTTAGAAAAGTCTATTAGCTTCAACTGTAAAAATAAATAGTTTGTAATTGTTTGGTACAATATACAATTAGTCTAGAAAGAAAAATGAGTAATTTAAATTTATTTTGTATTTTTCAACTTCTCATTTTACCCACATTGTTGATTTTGCTACTTTTACTGCAAAATATTTTTGAGGTTTTACGAGCTAAGCAAATGAAATACAAAAACTGTATGATGAAAAGAAGTATATTCTTATCATAAAAATCAACTTTTACTGTGACTTAGTAAAATCTTCATAAGTTCACAGAAAAATCTTTTAATAAAGATACTTTATTAAAAAGTTCAATTTTTTTTTATGTACAGACTTGTAATGTTTACTAAAAGCTTTCCAAATTTCATGATAATACACTTAGCACATTAAGAATTATAGTACATTCAGTTTCATGGTTACAAGGTTGGTCAAAATAACCGAGTCCGATTTCAGAAAGTTAGCTGAAAGGCATGATCGTGTGACAACTGTATAATCTGCCCATAACTGAAAGTGTGCAGCATATTTAGTGACATATCACAAACTCAAACCTTGGGCCTTCCAATTTGTATACTGGAATATGAATTTATGAAATCTTTTAATTTAACTTTTAAATTCCATATTAGACCAACTTTACCTGGTTTGCATCAACAACATATTTATGCTTTTTGGCAAACATCTGGGCCAGTGAGAGTGCAATTGTATAAGAAACAACACCAACACCAAGACCAGCTGGAAGAAGAGATGGCACCAGATCCATACGTGGCAAGACAGGCTCAGGAAAACTGAGAAAAAAGTGACAGAATCTAATGAAGCATAACAGAAACACACAAGATGACAACCCTAACACAATGATCTAAAATTACTCACTATTTCTAACCAACAAGTAAAGAGAAAACTTTTCGAAAAGGAAGTAAATGTAGGGATGGCTAATATCAATCCTTCAAAAACAAAATAGTAGGGATGGCATTTGCATCATCTCTACATAATAGCACAGTCACACAGTGTAATAGAATGTTATTAGACAAAAATAGGAGTCAATTGTGATTTAATAGTTATATATATTTATTGCTATATGTTAATTCTTGCCTGTGCTATAATGTAGGGATGATGCAAATGCTATCCCTATCTTGTTTGCATTGTTTTTGAATGTATGATATTAGCCATCCCTACCTTTACTTCTTTTTTTTTTAAGTTTTATATTTACTTGTTTTTTAATGCAGTGTTTCAATAGACATAGGAAGGTTGTGTTTATAACCAAGTTCTAAATACAACGAGGTTCCAAATGTAATATTTATTGTTTATCTATTATTGGCTGGTAATTCCTGTTTCACCCTGTACTTAAGCTTTTTGAAGGAACACCAAAATTTCTGTAAGAAAACTTACTTCAACGAGTAATGATAACATCGTTTACACTAGAATTATTATTATTATTTAATTACTACTAGTTAATAATACCTATTAAAACAAATATTCCATTTGAAACTGTGTCACCTCAACGAAATTGGTTGACACCATTGTTTTGGTTTTTCAGTTATCATCTAATAAAAAAGAAGCAGAAAAAAGAAGAACAACAAATTCAAACTTCTTGAAGGATAAAAAATGACAGACAGTTTTTCTCTAATTAAACATTAATTATATATTCTACTCTTAATTATATTTATCTGTGATGGCCATCTGTGGTCCAATTTAAAAGAATAAATAAAATTAATTAATGTTAATCTGGAGATATTTTATGTACAGCTTCAAAGACTCTAATAAAACAGCATTAATATTTTTGACACTAGAATCACATAAGCTGAGAATACACAACATGCAAAAACTATTGCCTAACATATACCAGATGGTCTAAAGAACAACAAAACTTGCACAGTTAAAAACAAATGATTTAAATTTGCTGATTAAAGCTATATGATCCCTTAAGATTGAAAACAAATCATGAGACAGAATACATTTATCCAGTCAAATGGAGTAGCTAGAACATACAGATGTTTGTTAATGGTCCACAACATGACAATTTTTATATCCAAACAACTTGTCTTTCACTATCCTTGTGCTCTTTAGCTAAGCAGACTAAGAGCCTAACTTCTTCATGCAATAAAATTGAGCTGTGGTGATTTGCATGTGCAGATGATGCTCAAAATTGGCCCTTTCCGATAGGGTTACATTACAGAACCTTCCAAGACAAAAACAAAAAGTTCTCCTACTTGCAATTAACCCTTTGAATGTGTAATTAAATTTTGGGTGGGTTCTTGAAATTTGACCTATTTTAGTACTTTTTCAATATCAAAATCCTCTAATTACACTTTTGCTCGATGATGTACACACGCACAGTACTAAGGCGGGAAATTCGAGGACGTGCGAGTATCCCGATTGTTGCACTATGAGGAAAAGTTTTTGTGACACCGTGGAGTAAATCCGCTTGTCCCCCCAAATGGCTATAAATGTCAAGTCAGATAAATCTGATTATAGGGTTAAGAAAAAATGTCAGTGTTTTGAATAATGGAATACCTGCAGTTTGGTGAACTGTATTAGTAAAGCAGTAAAAAGCATGATTTCAGCAGGGATAAAACAACCAGTCACATAATGGAAAGTAGTGAAGAAAATTAAGTGGCTTGCCACTGGAAGTAAGTCAAGAATGCCGTAGGTCATTGCTATTAAAGAACATCAGCACAATGGATGAAGCACATATCTAAGTGGCTGCAATAAAAATAGCCATGTATACGAGGTTCTCCAAAAGCACAAAACTGAATGGAAAACCAACTGTTGAAAGCTGTACGAGCAGTATCTAGCATGTGACAAATGGAAGAACATCAGCTCAATGGATGAAGCTGATATCTAAGTGGCTGCAATAAAATCAGGGTAAATTATTAAAATCCTACCAGTGATATTTCAAGTATAATACAGAGCAATGCATATTGGAAATGTTTCTCCAAGGGATTTATGGTCACTGATAGTTACAGCTATAACGGTGTGTTAAACATCCAGGGTTGAGGTAATGTCAAGGTGACCAATGCATGCTATTAAGCTAACATTCTGACACCACTATACCACAGATTAAAAATATAGTTATATCAATTACTACCCATACATCTAAGTATAGGCAAGCCTGTTACTCTGCAAAACACCAGTACAGGTGGGAATTCATACTACAACACTTACAGACATCTCCCTAAAAGCAGCAGGGGAATTACTGTATAATGTACAACAAAATAAGATATACCAAAAAGAAGTTAGATAATAGTAATAGCTATATTTCTTGTTTTCAAATACTTTTGAAAGTACAGGTTAGTAGGAAGTAATATTTTTATACATAGGAATTGCAATTACCTAAAAAAAAAATTGTTTATAATTTATGTTCATTGACCACCAATGAGAGAAAAGTACACAATATAAAAAATGTTACTCTTAATAAGCCTTCCAACACCACATCAAGGAAAAAAAAGGACTAATTTTAAGGACACATTAATGAGAAAATAGAGCACATTTTGGATAAGAATGTGGAGTAATAATAATAATAATAAAATATCAGGGTAATAGGGTGACATTATATTTTATTCAAGTGAATGTTAATATATAAATATTTAGTAATTACTGACATACTTACCTAGAAGTTGAGATTTGTTATGTCTTTACAAATTTCATACACATACCAAAGTCTCTCAAATACTAAGAAAACTTGCATAAACCTCCTCAGTGAAATCTGGAACACCCAGATGGCCAATTAAAAGGTTTCTACTACAAATAACCAACCTGAAAAAATAACACAAAAACTTTCCTTTCCCTAAAATTAAAGTATGGACTTTCAACAAAAAATAGAAAAATGGGAGGGGGGCTGAAAAAGTAAGAATATAGGGGGCATTGTAAGGACAGTTATAAGCTTAAAAATATAAGAACAGTTTGTTCTGCTCAAAATCTTAGAGAGAGCTAGAACAAACGTTTTGAAACATTTCAATGATAAGCATGTAAGTTGAACAGCCTTGTTGGAATGCCATAACAGAGTTAAAGTTTTAGCTGTGGATATGCTGTTTACACACTACAGATTAATGTATGCATTATATATTTTTTATCACTGAAACATTTATCAGTTATTATTCCTTTGTTTTAGATATCTTCTATGACAAATGTTCTGTTCAATATCACCATGTTCCCATACAATGTACTTCACTTGTACTCTAGATCCTTTAGTTTATTATCAGTCAATATTTTCTTTTAAATGGCATGTGATGCCTGATTTTTACATAAAGATCTGTACCCTTAAGTTTGTAAGATAACTGTTTAAAATTCAGCTTTTGGAATAAAACATGAAACGTCCTTAACAATATATTTTGTTATTAACTTTTATATCACTAACCCTGTTGGAATATCTCCAATTATGGATACTTCATATTTCCTATTGAATTCTCCTAAGTATGATATTACTGTTGCTAGTGCCACCTAAGTAAAGAAATAAATACGCAAAAATGTCTATTATTACCCAATATTCATGTTTTTGGTTGTTAAAGTTACAAAAAAAAATTTCATATACACTTTATAATATTAACATAAAAATTACAATCAAATCTATGACTTCATTTGTGTGGGTAATAAAAACCTACATGAATTTGAAATCTTAAAAATTATTAGTACTATTAACGCATAACTTTTGTTGAAATAATTGTTCTGTTTATCCAACAATATATTCAATTTTAATTGTTTCAGAATTTCACTCAAAGTTACATAAAAGCTAGCTGCACATAACCATTGCTAATTTTTAACCGATATTCTACAGGGAAGGTAGCATAAGCACCTGCCACCACCACCACCACCACCTTGGCTACACTTGTCTTATAAAATAGTGGGATTTGATCATCATTTTCATAGTACACCCACATCTCCAAAGTATGGAGCTTGTTTTTGTGGCAATGGGTCACTGAACCATGAATCCTCAGACTCACAGTCTAGGTATGCTAACCAATAGGCCACATTCAGCCCTTCAATTTCAAATAAGGAGAATTATGTATTCCTTTTCCATACATTTCAACACAGTGACAATTAAGACTTACTTTAGATTATATAACCTTCACCCATTAGAGATTAAATAACCTGCTCATAAACATTTTTATACGACACTACTTTACCAATAACAGAGAATTTTAACATCAAAATCAGCTAGTAAAGAAATATGTTGTGTAAATTTAAATTAACTTAAAATAATTTTAACTACAATGAAGCAAATAAGATAAAAATTCTGAAGAATTTTTCTTCCACTTTCTTGACTCTTCATATTTTATGTTAAATATAGTTCAACTTGTTTTTGTTAGTTTTGTAAACAGCAGTTAAACTGTGAAAATATTTGGAGACCAACCAATAACAACTACTGAGTGAGAGTAATATAAATCCTTCTCCTTTTACATTCATTAGAATCTCTTGAATTATTCCATATAAAACCTAAGATAACATGTGGCTTTCTCATGATCTAAAACAATATTTCTCAAACATCTGAGAACTTACCACTATCAGATCAATAGGAATGGGCATCTTTAACTTGTTTTTGAAGCGAGCATTTACTTGTTCCTTCACAACAGCCAAGATGAACATGGAAATGAATGATATTAACACAGTGGCTGGATTTGAATTTTTTATAATGGAAAAGATGTTAATAGTACTCTGAAATGGAAAACAGAATAACTCCATCACCCCAGTAATTCCATGAAAAAGACAACATACCTATTGTCATTAAATCTAATAATAACTCCCTTGCAAAAATGTTATTTATAAAATCCTACAGGCTATACCAAGGATCAAACAGGATGTGCAAAAGATAGAATTACACCTTATGAAATTAACATTATGAGTACTATAAAACACCATAAAAGCTGTATAAAACAAATTATAATTCTGTATAACAGAGATGGCTGGTATGGGTATTAAAAACTTTTAATTAAAATAAAGTATAAGAACAACGTTTCAACCTTCTTAGGTCATCTTCAGGTTAACAAAGACAGTTTGAACCAACATAAAGGAACACCTTTTTACCAATATTAATCACCTAACATCTAACTGTCATGCCCCCTACAATCTCGTACCTGTTCGCACTCTTGTCCCTAAGACATGTGCCCAGTAACATTCTGTTTCAAACTGTCTTTGTTAACCTGAAGATGACCTAAGAAGGTCAAAACGCTGTTCTTATACTTTATTTTAATTAGTTTTTAATACCCATACCAGCAATCTCTGCTATACATTTTTACTTTAAGTGGGTTTCTCGTCATCATTAATAAACTACAATTCTCTAGGGTTCAGAGAATGGCTACCAGGATGATACCTGGAGTGTAAAGGTTGTCACATGAGGATAATTTAAGATGTCTAATATATTTTTTTCCTAAGAGAAAATAAGTTCAGGAGGATTTAACTGAGATGTTTAAAATTAAGGGAACTTATAAACTGATGCTTCATCTTTTTTTTTCTATTTAATGGTGAAAATGGTAAGACTAAGGAACACAAATGTAAATTTTGGTAGGGAAGGAGTCGTCCTCATCTAAGAGAGCTTTGGCCTTTGGAATTGGTTGCCTTCAGATGTGGTAGATGCAGTCAATTTGAGGCAGTTTAAGGGAAAGCTTAATAAATATTTCAATGATAAGGCCTGGCTTTGAGTTTTTTAGTGTTTGGTTTAATTTAGTAGATAGAACAGCCCAGATGAACCAAAAGGTTCCTTGTTGCCCTTTAATGTTATGTTCGAATGTAAAAAATAAGCTATCAAAGAAAAAATCCTATAGGATGGCACAAATTATAAAAACAACCTTATGAGACAGTTTCGACTTAAGCTTATACTGTCTACATTTTATGAATAAAATATTCTATACATGCAAGTCTACTCTTGCAGTTTACTGTGAATACATCCTACAGGTGTAATAACAAATGTTCTGTAGTTATGTATATAAATACTCTATAACAGTACTACAAACACCTCACAGAACATTGTACAATTTAGAACTAATGTACTTCAATTTATGTTATAACATCCTATAAATCTACCAACAAAATTTGTTATAGGGCATCTTTATTAATTTCAGAACTTACAGCAACCAAATATTTACTTACATAAATGATCATAAATGGGCCTGAATACCTCTGTGTGGAGATATCAAAGACATACTTTATCTGTGAAATAACCACCAAGATGGCAGTTCCAGTGCAAAATCCAGATACAAACTGATCCGAGAATATTACTGTCAATGATCCCAAGTGAAAAATACCCATCAAAATCTATACCAAAAAAACATTTTTAATAAATGTTTCATGTTTTATTACTGATATAAGTATATACATTAAATTGTTTTTGTATTAACCAATAAATACTTGAAAATATAAATATATATATAAAAAAAATTTGCTGCATATCTACTTATTTGCAGTATCTTTACATACGTATGTGTACAAAGATACATACATACAATGTGGCACCTCCATAATACTGGAAACTCTTAACAAAATATATAGCTATTAAAACTCGTTTAAAATGTTGTAGTAAAGGAATGCAAAGTACTGAAAACACTTCAACATCAAGATCTAGTCTTAGCATGAAACCGTGCAATTTACTGTAGAAAATACTTTTTGTCAATGACATTTATGTTTACCTAACTACAACAGCATCAGATATTTGAGACACATTTCCAAGTATAACTAAATTGTTAACATTATATTACACTTTTTTTTTATTTTAGGTAATTTTTATGTCAAAAAGAGTCTCTTTGACTCATCTGGTAACTGAATTGTAGTCATATCTGTTCAAGCAGCCACCTACTATAGGTGGCAGATTTTAACTCCTCTAAACTTCTTTTTTCTATAAAATAATCCTTAACTAAGTAGTCACCTGTTCAACATTGCCAGTGGTCACTATTGTTTTACCACTAGTATAATTCCTCTTCATAAAACATCCACTATTAAACAGTATTAAAAAAATCGGTGAAATGTTGGTTCAACCCGCTGAATGAGACTCTCAAATTTAACATCTTGTAAGATTTAAATCTAAGCACCATCTTGATTTTCTTTTTGTTTCTACAATTGACAACACAAGATTTCTCATCAGCAACATGGATCTTAACATTGTCTAAAGTAGAAGCGAGTCAGGTTTTAACAACGGATTAAAGTGAATTAGCTGAATTGTGTGATCTAATTTATTTAGACTTTCAAAGTTCTTTCATTATTTGTGCACTCCAAACAAATTTGATAAATTTCTTCTTTTTTTTTCCTTCAGGGTAGTTTAAATATTCCTGATTTACAACTTCATAGCAGTAATCCTTCTTGTCCTATTTAAAAAAAGATTTTACGTCTTTTTTTTAATCTTATCCATTTATTCAAAAAAGCTACAAAAGTCAATGAACAAATTCCATATTTGACAATGGCATCAGTACCCATGTAAGGTTTAAAATTTCTATGTTTGTTCATCAATCAGGACCACCATTAACCCAAAATGCACAGACTTGGTACACTGAACTTACTATATGTGTATCCACAAGAAATGTGGCTAACTTTTAGTAAAATGTACAAGTCCTTTGTACCCAAAAATCAGATGAATTATAAAGTCTCTGTACTCAAGACATATCTGTGAATTGATAACATCAGTCTGACTCAAACTCTGACAAATCAGAGTGCAAGACGATGTTTCTGTGAAGAATAAAAATACTTTGGTCTGTTGTGCATATTGCATTTGCATAGCCTCTATAACATCAGAAATACATATCTACAGTTCTTTTCAGTATCCCTGTATTTAAGCTCCTCTACCATAAACTGTTACTAAATCAGCAATGTATGGTAAAACGAATAGCTGATAACTCCAACATCAAATAGATACCATGTTGAATGGCACTCTGTAAAAGGCTATGGCTTGTGCACTTTGACCCCAGATGTACACAATATGCCACCCCTGTTAAGAAGCTACTTTTGTCACTTCCTCAAAATCCTAGTCAGAACAAATCTACTTTCAAATGCAGTATGTAAACCTACCGTCGTTAAAAATGTGGCTGAAATTATTAATTTTGCATGAAAGTATTAATTTGATATACAATTTTTTGGTTACTGACTCAGAAATCAATGGATTTTGAAAATATTTCACGTACAGTTACATATATTTTTGTTGACATTTGTTTTTTCAAGTATCATTAAATGATTACATCAACATGCATTTTGAAACTTGTAAAGAAGTATTTTTATACTCCTCAGGATCAACAAACTGGTGAATAAAGATTACTTTATTTATTTATTTAAAAATAATGACTAATATACACACACACACACAAACACACACATATATTTGTAGATTAAATTAGAATACTGTAAACATGGAAATCAACAAATATAATCCAAATACTACTAAGTTTGAGTTGTGAAACATCGCCCTGCTATACGATTGTTTTTTCTGTTGTTGTTAAACACAAAGTAATACAACTGGCTATCTGTGCTGTGCCCACCACAGGTATTAAAACACAGTTTTTAGTGTTACATGTCTTCAGACTTACCACAAAACTGGGGTACATTACTATATGAAGATTTATTACTTATGCATCAAGTAAGCCTTTTAGTCTCACAATAACTGACAAGATGCCAATCAATACTAATTCTCTTTTTTTTTCTAGTTTTATAGCACTGTGAATTTACTTTCTACACAGAAAACTATACCTACACCAAGATTAATCATACCTGGAAAAGCCCAGTCACAAGACAGAGAGAAACTACTATTTCCAAGTTGGTTGGAGGCCAGAATTGATCTGTAGAGTGAAACAGATTCTCACTTCCGTTAAAACTGAGATTTCCAGCAGTCTCTCCTATGGCTAAACTAGGCATATTCTGTTTGTTAGCTGCCACTAAGCTTTCTACCGCATTACCAGCCATTAAACTGATGACAGCCATTGTACCTAAAAAAACATATGAATGTATTCACAATGTTATTTTCATTTATTACATGCAAAACAAAACCAAAGATATTTTGCTTTTGTTAGTTTTGGTAAGAAAAAAAAAATTTGTCTACAACACCTAACATCATGAGAAACGATTTGTGGTAAAAAAGAAAACAAAGTCATCTGAAGAGATCAACTTTTAAGTAAATATCTCCATTTTTACAAGTGCTTTCCTGCATTAACATGCTTCAACAATATTCATAAACCCCACTTCCAACCAAGCATGTACTGGTAAGTAAATGTCTCCATTTTTACAAGTGCTTTCCTGCATTAACATGCTTCAACAAGATTCATAAACTCCACTTCCAACCAAGCATGTACTGTAAGTAAATGTCTCCATTTTTACAAGTGCTTTCCTACATGAACATGCTTCAACAAGATTCATAAACCCCACTTCCAACCAAGCATGTACTGGTAAGTAAATATCTCCATTTTTACAAGTGCTTTCCTGCATTAACATGCTTCAACAATATTCATAAACCCCACTTCCAACCAAGCATGTACTGGTAAGTAAATGTCTCCATTTTTACAAGTGCTTTCCTGCATTAACATGCTTCAACAAGATTCATAAACTCCACTTCCAACCAAGCATGTACTGGTAAGTAAATTCAAATTTTGCTCAACTATTTTGTTGTTGTTGGGCACAAAGCTACACAATGGGCTATCCGTGCTGTACTGTGGGTATTGAAATTCAATTTTTAGCATGATAAGCCTCAGATTTACAACTGAACCACTAGAGGGCGTTGATCAACCAAGTATGATATATTGTACAAGCTACTAGAAAAAGTGAGAACTAACAGATATATTTTTCCTTTTCTTAAAGTTTAGGTAAACATAAAACTACATAGACAATGACATTAAACATCCTAATTGCTAAAATTATTTAATTCAGAGAATAACAAATTAGTTTATCTTTAAAGAACAGGTGACTAACACTTCAAAAGAATAATATGACAGAAATAACTAGTAAGATAAATAAAAACAGAAGTAGAGAGACTTTCAACTTTTTCATTCACAAAGGTCTAAGTCTTGATGCATTTTTATACAAATGCACTAATGAATTATGGGTGCTACTATAGCGTGAGGTCTACCTCCCGTTAGTACTATAGCGTGAGGTCTACCGCTGCATTATCCATCCCTCATGGATATCACACATTTCCAAACATTTATTTTAGCGATAAACACTAAATTTGTACATATCCTAGGAATGACTTAAATAGATAATTGGTTTTCTAATTAAATTTATATTAAAGGGGGTAGGCGACATATGGCGGTAGACCTCACGCTATAGTAGCACCGAATTATGTTCCTAAAAGTATTATTAACTTTCATATGTATGGTGTTTTGAGTTGTCTTTTACAAACCACAGTAAACCTATGTTAATATATGATCCAAAGAATATTCAGCACTGATGCTACTAATTTAATTTTCTAAGTTATTTAGCAGACAAGCTATTTAAAATACTAAAAAAAGATATGCAACCCAATCTGTCATTCAATTCACCACATGACACTGAGTACTAATCTATGGGAATTCCATCATCCATCAGTATTCCTGAACTAAGACAAATCAAAAGACTAAACTTGTTATAATGGTGCAGCATATAGTATATGTATAGTATTTTGAGTGGTGTTTACTCACTTCTGTGAACCTATATTAATATAGGATTTGAAAAATATGTAGCACTGATGCTAAACCTATTATTTCAAATCCTGTATTAATATGTAGCACTGATGCTAAACCTATTAATTCAAATCCTGTATTAATATGTAGCACTGATGCTAAACCTATTAATTCAAATCCTGTATTAATATGTAGCACTGATGGTAAACCTATTAATTCAAATCCTATATTAATATGCAGCATTGATGCTAAACTTACTGATTGAAACTCTGTATTAATATGATGCACTGTTACTAATCCTATTAATTCAAATCCTATATTAATATGCAGCATTGATGCTAAAGTTACTGATTGAAACCCTGTATTAATATGATGCACTGTTACTAATCCTATTAATTCAAACCTTATACACTTCAAGTTCACTGTCATGAGTAAAACAACACACGTACAATATATACGTTCTGGCACAACAAGAAGCCTAGTCTTGTTCTTTTTATTTGTCCTTTTCAGGGTTACTGAGAAGGGGTGGAGTTTCCTGAAACTGGTATAACTCATTAATAAGTGGTAAATCGTTTGATAGATTGGGCTTCCTATGCACTTTTAGTATTTTAAATGTTGTTACTTGTTTTGTGTTTTTAAATAAAAGTGTTTAATATCTATATCAACCGCCTACTATATATATATATATATATATATATATATATATATAC